CCATTGTGTATCCACCATTGTCCCTTTGGTAACTTGAAGGGCAGTTAATCAAAGGGGAATCCATTAGGTAATTAGTGGACTGATGTGACGATGACACAGAATGTTCTACGCTTGCAACGTCATTGTTCTGGACAGATAATGAATTGAAACTTGATGGAGTCATACACAACGATTGGTCATTTGGGAGAGAAGAGCACGTACCTACATGCGTATGGTAATTGTGAAAAAGCTCAATACACATAGGCATTGAATTCAAATCCAAATCCTGCGATTTCATGGTGAGGTATGAAACTAAGCTTTTGTCATCATCAATCAAAACCGGGTGGGGGGACGAATTGCACTTGTATGAAATCTTTAAAGTAGTATGCTCATTAACTTGGCCAAGTAGCGAACGAACGGCGTCAATAAGCATTCGAAAGGAGCTCTCGAATGAGATGATGAGTTCATGATAACTTTTAGCCCTGAATGAGCCATCACTCGTCCATTCACCATCTAGGCACAACAATACACGAAACACGGATGGCGCTGGATGCGTCGGCATGGATACCGAATTCAGCAACGAAGAAAACATGATAATGAGATTGGTAATCGATCCGGCAGGAGAGAATGTGGCGAGAATAATTTTGCCAGAGACGGTAGTGGATGTGGCGATTGAGGCGTATCCGCGTATGTAGAGTGGCGCACGATCGGAAGGAGTTTTACCGTGCAGGGGAATCAAGAGATCAGTTTATTCCCTGAAAATTAGGGATAATCAATGATTTGTTTTCCAAAAATAAGTAAAAATTAAAAGGAATGAGTTTTAATGGGCTTTGGAGATGGAAGGGTATGCACGGTATTAGGGATGAAATTAAGTGCTAGAGAGAGGAAAAATAAGTAGTGGTGTCATTTAGGTAAAGCTGCTTTGTTTCGGTGCTCTCTTGGGTAAATTTCACTTTGTTAATGTATATAGTCACAATTGATATTCTACAAACATTTTAATGCCTATTTTGAGAATAAAAGTATCGACTCTTAAATAAATCATTTTTTTGGAATATAAAATACGAATTTTATTTATTTACTTACTGATAAAAGTTTGTCGAATTTGGCTCATCATACAAGTCACACTAAACAAGTATTCTAGGACGGAAGTTGTATTTGTCACTTTACGAAGTTTGGGAAAAAAGTTTTAAAATAAAAAATATATATAGCGAGAATTTGTTTGAAAAAAGTAACAAAATCTTAAAAAGAAAGTTAAAATAAATCTGTTTCTTAAATGCTTTTCTTCCATTTTTTTGTTTTTCCCAAAACACTTCCACTTTCTATTAAAAAACATTTTTACCCCTACCTTTTTTACCCTACTTATCACATCATACTTTTTCACTAATGATCTATCTATCACATCTTACTTTTATCTATCACATCAAGAATAAAATTGAAAATTCAACATACATTCCTTATTTCACCTAAAAGTCAAAATAGGAACTGTTTTTTAAAACAGAACAAATATTATTTCAGAGACATTACAACCCAAAAGTGTGAATTTAATTAGGACGGTAAAAGTCCAGTAACGTACTCTTTTGGTCCAATTAGAGAACAAGACATATCCGAGACCACCTGTAACCACAAACTTGAGCTTTGGTTAAATCGATTCCTTAATATTATTAAGAAGCTTTGATGACCAAAACATCACACGTTCAAGCCTCATTGTCATTCAATTTAAAAAAAACTAATTTTCACGTGCAAAACTCGAACAAAAATAAATCTCGTCTGCACGTGAGAGGCGCATTAGAGCATAATAAAATATATCCTGGACACACAACCACAAGCTTGATCTTTGAGTCTAAATTAATTAATTTTCAATGTACTAAGAAAGTATTACTCCATAATAGATAATTACTCCCCCCGTCCCGGAGTATTCATCCAGTTTTGACTTTTGAAACTGTTCATCTAAGCACTTTGACTCATCAAATTCTCTCAATGTGTAAGTCTAAATATAGTCATATGTGATCTTGTTTGATTTGTCTTAACATATAGATTATTAATATATAATTTCTATAATTTTTTAATATACAAATTACAAGATAAAATGGATTAAAGAAGTGTATTGGATGGTGTGTAAAAATAAAAGTAGACAAATACTCTGGGACGGAGGTAGTAATTTGGAATGAAGGGAGAACTTTCTAGTTCACATTTACTATGGGAACTATTTATGAAATCAGAGTTTACAAAGTTAATAAACTTAGGGTCCGTTCGGTATACGGAATTGAAAGAATTGGAATTGAAATTCCATAAGTTTCAATTCCATAGAATTGAATCCAGCAATTCCAATTCATTTTTTATACTATCAATTCCAAATTCACATAAGTTTTTTGCTACCAAACACCAGAATTGAAATTGAAATCCTCAATTCTAATTCCATACTTTGAATTCCATGTACCAAACAGGGCCTTAATGAATTTATTACATCAATACCCCTGTGATTTGGTAAATGTGCACTATTATCCTCATGATATCAAAGATTACGCCGTTGTCCCCGTGGTTCTAATATTCCTATGTGAATCTCTCTATAGACTAAAATACCCTTCAGATATCAAATGAATAGCTCTGCTGCCCCTTATGGTTTTGAAAATATACACCAACGACCCTTCTAGGGGTGTGCATTAGTTGCTCTGGACCCGGACCGACCCGAAACCCGGCCAAAATCGGACAAGACTGGTCGATCCGGTCTTTGGTCCTCACTTTTTTATTCGGGTTCCGGTCTGGTCTGGTCCATCGGGTTTCGGTCTCGACCGGTGGACCGGTTACATTTCATTTTTTAAAATATTTGTTTCTATATAGTTTTATAATATAGTTTTATTAATTTTTTCTTATACTTAAAATTCCTTCTCCCTATAAATATGGTCTCCTAGAATGAGAAGGAAGCAAGATCATTTGAAGGAAAAAATATATAGCTAAGTAGGTTGAGAGGGTGTGTGAGTAAGAGTGGGTTGTGGCGTTGCCGAGGGGTGGAGAGAGACGTGGGGGACGTATCACGAAATCATCCCATCAACGTTGTCAAGCTATCATTTTGACTAAACAGACACTGAAGGTGTGTCCGTTGACCCTAAATTTTTCATTTAAAACATAAATTTTTTAAATGTTTTTAATTTATTATTTAATATAATTTTTTTAATATATTCCAATTTAAAATAAGATACAAATTCTAATGATATTTAAATATTTTTGATATGAAAAGTGTGAATTAAGTAAACATCATTACCTTTATATTAAGGATCTAATGCATTTCAAATTTATGTACTAATACTATAACTTAAGTTTGTATTTAATCAATAATAAAACTCTAATAAACAAAAATAAACATTTTAAACAATCTCATGTAAAAAATAGTAAAAATGAATCAGTTTGCCAAAATAAACCGAAAACACAAAAAAAATGTAACACGGGTTCCATTCGATCATGCTCCTCCTAAGCCTCAAATTTTATGAGTTTTGTTTTAGTGATTTTAGTGTCATCAGCAACTATTTTATGCAATTGGGTTTATTTAAATCATACAAAAATTTAAATAGAAGTTGTCAAACGAGTTATTATGAGGTGCAGAGTGCATGCTAATTCAACGAAGCGTCAGGGAAGCGATAGCCCCTGGCAAGATCCAAGGGGCAGAGCCCCTGGTTGGGGTAAAAAATCCTTCAGATTTTCGTGAACGAAGTCCCAAACATTTAAAATTCAGACGTATGGATAAACGTCGAGAATTGATCCAAAAATGCAAGAACCTATTTGTGCGAATTTCTTTACGCGAACATACATGTTTGTACATGGTATTTCGTGTCTATAAATATAGATATGGGGTATGGTTGAAGTATTTATTTTTGAAGTATTTGTTCTTGATAAATGTCTTATTATTCGATTAAAGTATTCTGATATATTTCAAAATAATTTTGATATGAAAGTGTTCTACGATATTTGTTATACTCTATCAAGTTGTTCATCTCGTTCGTCATTTATAAACTCTGTAACGCTACTTCGTAGCATTCTCTCTCTATTTACCTCGATTTTTCTTGGATTAAACTCATGGTAGACACAATAAAGAAGTAAACACCAACTATACATCATTCAATTTTGCACTTCCCAAACTAAAAAGTACAGTATCCAATATTGTGGCATAGACCAATTTTGCTTATTAGAAAATGCTAAACTAAATTGGTGTAAACTTTTCAAATACCTCGTATTACTTTAAATCATTGAAATAGAAGGTTACATGTTCGAATCATAATGGTATTGGCATGGACTCTTTTTCCGTTTCAATTTAAATCACTTATTGTTATTGACAGAATTTTATTGAAATTGTGTTCAATTCATTTTATTTGAAGATGGATGCACTGTAGCCTGTAGATTTAAAAAATAAAATTTATATATACTCCCCCATCCTAGAAAAACTCACAGTTAGACTTGATACAACATTTAAGGAAAGTAAAATGTATAGTTGAAAGTAATGCATAGAAGAGAGAAAGATTGTGAGTCACTCAAAGTTTTTCATAAAAGCAAGAAAAAGCTTTTTTGAACATTCCAAAAAGTTTTACAAAAACTGAAAAGAATATTACTATTTTATTTTATCAAATGAGTAGTAAAAATGGATAGAAAAAATTGATTAAAGTGTGATCATGTAAATTTACGGAATACTTAAATGGGAATAGAGAGACTATGTAATAGCTAGATTTAATAGCTAGACTTAATTTGTATGTCAATTTGCACACAAGAAGTCATTCTTAATGCATTTCAAAAATGTTTGTGTGTGTCTATGACTTACACGATTAGAGGATCAAGCAATATTCTTTTGGGTAGCTTCAAATCCTTCAATAGTAACGACAATAGACAAAGGAATATCTAAGAATGTTGGTTTACATGCATATGATTTAACTGATCTTCCAAATTCCAGATTTTATATATATATATATATATATATATATATATATATATATATATATATATATATATATATATGTATATATATATATATATACATAGACATGCACAGTAGACATGACCCAAACAGATCCTAAATTCCTAATTATCAAATCCGGGTCGGATCAATATAACATTCTATACTGCTTGAATTTGAAGATCATGTATATCAAATTGTTTATGAATATATATATCAGATAAAAAGGGTTCAATTTTGTTTTTTTTAATTTTACAGGAATATCTGCTGCTCCATCATACGGCTGAAGTCCTCGAAGCACACAAACCCATCCTCGTTCTTATCCACTCCGCTTATCATGCGCCGGCACTCCTCTATCGTGCACCTCCCGTCCCCGATCCTCCCCAGCACCCTGTACAGCTCCTCCGCCGAGATCCTCCCGTCCCCGTCCGCGTCGAACAGCTCGAAGGTGTCCCTCACCTCGCTGCCGCGCGACGGCGCCGCGAATGCCGGCCGGAGCGCCGCGAACTCCTCCAGGCTTATGCATCCGTCGCCGTTCCTGTCCACCTCGCTCATCACACAGTCGATTTCCAATTCCTCCGCTCCCAGCAGGCCGAACAGAGCCGCGAGCTCCTCCCTCTGAATCTTCCCGTCCCGGTTTCGGTCGATCAGGTTGAACGCCTGGACCAGCTCGTCGCCGGGGAATTCTACTGCCCCGGCGGGATCGCGGGGGTTGTTGTTATTGGAGGAGCGGGATGAACCGGATCCGGAGCCGATGGAGTTCGGGTCTCCGGGTCGGGAAACGGAGCGGGCGAATCTGGATTTGAAGAACTTCTTGGGGCTTGATGAGATGCTCTTGAGAAGCTTCATGCTAAGAAACGGAGGAAGAAGGGAATTGGCATATGGACGACTGGCGGGCTTGGGTAGAAGAAGAAGAATGAAGAAGAATAAATGGAGGAGGCCATCCAGGAGATGGTCACGTTAAATGATGAGAGCAGAGGATGGGATACGACCCACCGGCCATGGTGAGCTTCCACGAAGTTTCGTTAGAGAGACTCGTTGGAAAAAGAAGAAAAAAACAAATCAGATCAATACTCATCATCGTCATCGGGTGATCATTTTACTCGCATGATTCTTTGTTAAAGTACGCTCTACATTCTTCCTTTCATACTCCGTACTCGCCTCCCAATCTAGAGAGCCTTTACTCTATACAAGTGAAAAACATAAAATTTCAATGTAACAACGTGGCACTCTACATGGATATCTTTCTATACTTTTTTAAAATAGTACTCTGTAACACTTTTATTAGGGCTGTCAACAGATAGCCGAAAATTCGATTACCGTCTGCATACGTATCCGTTTAAATAGGAAATATCTGCATTCATATTAAATGGATATTATCTGTATTCGATTACTAAACGGATACTAATTTGGTAATTGTATATCCGATCTTTTTAAAATCTTATTCGAATATGCATCCGTTTAAATAACCGTTTATCTGAATATCCGATCTGTTATATATAATTTTTCCTAATTTTTTCTGTTTATATTTTGTTTCTTTATTGATATTTAAAAATATAAAACATTTTTATACATAAAATAAATGTGTAGACACATAAAAATCTGTGCAACATACAAAAATGTGTATATGTGTATATCTTTTTATCATATGAAGTTATCGTAGAATATCATAAATTATAAAAATAAAGAAAATAGTTATCCCATAACAAATTATAGTTGATTTAATAATAGTTTGACTTTAATCTAATTTAAAATCAAAGTATTGTTTAATTTGGTTTTAAAAATTGGAAACGGATACGGATATACCCGATATCCGACGGATGCGGATACTGTTTTGATTTTTAGTATCCGTCAAGATCCGTATCTGAATTCAAGATCCGAAAAAAATAAACGGATACGAATTTGGTAATGACACATTTGATCTGATTAATATCTGTTTACACCCCTAATTTTTATAACTAAAAACAAGAATAGGAAACTTTTTATCCGAATTTATAAAAACAAAAATATTTAACTTTAGATGGAGAAAGTATATGTTTTTTCTAATTTTGGTTTTTTATTTCAAATACAAACCAATTTGAATTTTAAAACATACTCCGTATATAATAAAGAACAACTGTACATGAAAAAGCTTTAAAAATGATAATATGCACTGATGCTCATCAGCTCATGCGGATTGAAATGTGTATCAATGTCCCCTTTTTAATGAACAAATGAACGTAAATTAGGACGAATCGATGTGGTGCATGTGCAATCTTTTGAAATAATAGACACTTTTTAATAAGTTTTGAAAAACAAATGAGGTATTCATACATATTTTTCAAACCTTTGAGAGCGCTGGAACTATTTTAATATATTTTATTCAAAAATATATATTGTCATTCGATATTTGAATCTTTAAATATATGAATATCAAGATTATATTTTTTCACATCTATTTTTACTGTTATATATTTTCTCTATGAAAATTATGTTCCAATAAAAAAATAAAGGCTAAAAAAGTCCTACTAATAAAGAGGATGAAAATAGTTTTTTTAAAATTTATATTTCCTTTATGAAAATACTTTCATTTAAAAACAAAATTTTTATCATTTATAAACACTTTTTATATCATAAATAAATACAGTTAAAGACTATCAATACAGTGATTTGAATATATATTATATCTCAAACAAATTTAAAATTTTGATAGTTTTTTATACTCCCTATTATATATTTTAGGAAATTTTAATTATTAAAAAAGTTATTGAATGCATTAAACCACATAGTTTTTCTTATTAAAATTATCTAATATAAATAAATTCATAATGCACTAATATCTTTAATAAATTTCTCATCTTTAATTAGGTGGTATAAGATGAGCTACTCTAGAGTATATTTTAGCTCAATAAACTTTCATTCAAAAGAATAAATTAATAATTTTTTTAAAAATATATTTTACTCAAAAGACTTTTAATATTATTGTTGTTTTTATGAAAAAAAGACCATGGCTAATTGATCATGTTTAACTTCTATTTTATGAATAATTTATTTATTTTTTGTTGAAAAATTATAAAATTTATTTCATCTACATAATTTTCAATAAATTCAAAAGTCCAAATATTTTCAATATAAAATATATTGTTTTAAACTCATTATATTCCAAAGGTTATCATAAATAATTTTCTATAAATAATGAATTGAATGAGCATTTAAAGCATGCCATGTCATTTATTCATGCATCATGTCATTTAAAAATTGTCATGTAAGATAACACATGTTGACTTTTTGGAGTCATGAGTATCAAATATTATAGTAAAGGATAAATGATATCATCATATTTTTACCTATTAAATTTCAATCATTTCACTGGTTAGTGGTGGATGGATCAAAATATTGGATGATGGGTGATGTAAATAACGCCTAATTCATACTTCTTCCGTACCTTTAAACCATTCTATTCTTGACCTTAGGCAAAAATAAGGAAAATGTAATTTTGGTTGTCTTTCTAATTTTGCCCTTGATGTAATGAGTAAAACTAAGATATGATAGTTTTGTTATTAGTGAAAAAGTATGATGTGATAGGTAGAGTATGACAAAGTAAGGATAAAAGTGGTTTTTTTAATAGAAAGTGGAAGTGTTTTAGAGAATTCAAAAAAAAATAAATGGGAAAGGGTTTTATGGAACAGAGGGAGTAGATCAAGAGAGATCAAGATATAATATTCACCCCATTAAAACGTGACTCATTGTCATCCCTAGTTCTTGGTTTTGGTTTCTTCAACCACATAGTTAAAAAAACCACATGGTTAAAAAAACAATTTTACCCATGTTATATACTTTTATTATTTACTTTTTTGTCGAAAAAAGGAATTAAATGTTGGAAGAAACTAGAAGGCGTTGGATAAACTAGAAGGGGTTAGAAAAATTAAAAAGAGTTGGAAGAAACTCGAAAAAGTTAGAAGAAACTAGAAAGAGTTTTAAAAATAATGAAAGCGTTTTAAATAATTAAAAATGATAAAATAATTATTTTATTTTATAAATTTCATATTGTATTTAAAAATGTATACTCTACTTCTTAAATCTTATTTGTAATTTTTTGTGACTTACACTCTATCTTTAATTATTAAAATCGATATCAATCATGTAATTTTTTTACTAGTTTTTATATTGTATGTCATTAATCCATGTAACAAAAATGAAAAGACAAAAGAAGCAATACTTTTTACTAATCTTAGTTGAATGTCTCGACCAAAACAAAAACAATCTTACTTCACATTTTATATATCAAAATAATTACAAAAATGATCTAAGACTAACAATGTTAATTTTACATTAAAAATTATTGATTAGTGATCCAAAAATTTTCAATTACTAACGGAGTAATGATTAAAGAGTATATATCTCGTGTAAGACTTCTAATATCAAAATAATAAAATTCTGAATTTCTGAGTAATAATTCAAAATAAATGAAATTAATATTTTTGGCGAAAGAACTTCAAATGCCGAATCAGAGAAAAGAATATAGAAATCAATCTAAATAGGACTAAAACATAGAAAAAAGTACCAAAATAGGAGTTCCATGTTTTTATTCCCAAAATAAGACTTCACATTGTGGTAATATGCAGTGGCGGACCCAAGAATTTCGAGGAGTGGGTTCACATTTTGTGCACAAAAAATGTTGATATTTGTATAACAATAAATTTAAAATCTTAAAGGTAAAAAAGGTATCAATAAATAGCATTCTGAGATTAATATTGTGAATTATATGCAATATTTTTGAAATACTATATAAAAAATATAATACGCTCATTGTTTTAACCAAAAAAAAAAATTAAAGAACTAAAGTAGTAATTCTAGACATTTCTTCAAATACTAAGTATATCTTAGGAATCTTTTTAAAACAATTAAACTTGTTCATACATTTCAAAAAAAATTGAACATTTTATAATTAAGTTTCATAATAAAAGGTAAATCAGTTTTCCAAATCTAAAAGAATTAAAACATAAAATTCTACACAACTATAGAATGTGTCTTCTCTTCCATTTTCAAAAAATAGCACCTAATCACATACTCCGTATAAATATACTCTCCTTGGATGCCCTTAGTCTACATATAATATCCAATTATATACTACTACTAATAAATAATTTTTTTTGGAGTGGGTGCAAGTGACCCCACTGCAACCACCCTAGGTCCGCCCCTGGTAATATGGTTGCAATATGACATTGTACATGTGCACATTAGTCTACTTTTTGGTAATGCACATGACCATATTTGGTAATGTAAATGCATGCATTTTAACTCCTATTTTGAGAATAAAAACATGAAAGTCTTATTTTTGTATACTTTCAATGTTTTACTTTTATTATAGTCTTTTTTCTCAACAGAATACGAGAAGACTCTAGTTAGAGATTAGTGCTTATAAAGGTTTGAGTTCATGAGTTGTATTTATTTCTAAAAGTTTCATATTCTTGTTTTTAGTTATAAAAATTTCACTATTTTGAAATAAGAAGGGAAACATAAAATATTTGGATTCTGCTTAGGAGTCACTATTCACAAGGGTTTGAGTCATTTTTATTTCTAAAAATTTCCTACTTTTTTTATTAGGAAAAGTTTACTTTTATAAAATAATGAGCAAAAAAGATAAATGTGGGTTCAAAAAAAAGATGAATGTGTATAATAAAAGGCACTAAATCATTCCCATAAAAACTTTTCGTATTTCGTTTTTTGTATGTCTCAAGAGTTTTAAACTAATTTATTTTTTCTTTTTTAATCTTTTTTATTTTATAAAAGTCAAATATAGAACTTTTATGGAACAGAGGTAATTTTCAATATACATCCAATATATGCACATTTAAAATATAAACAAAATTAATTTTACAGATTTTTTTCATTGCATATTAAAATGATGATGAACATTTATTATTTTACATATGCTTAGAACATGCACATGATAAAATTACTATTGTATGCACATTTAAAATTTATGTAATATTTAATGGAAGAAAATAGAGTGTACAATTATTTTGGTTAAAGTTTTAAAACATTGATTAGAGCACATTTCAAAGAAACTTCGTTAACAAAATTTCAAAATCACAAACTAAATTATACTTTAATTAATTTTAAACTTTAATAATAACCGTGACAAAATTTATATCCAGACATAACGTTTTAATAAATTGTTACATCAATTTTTTATTTTATTGAGATAATAATAATAGTAATAATAATAATATGAAAACAAACCTAAATAGTTTTTTTAAGTCATTGTTAGAAGAAATTGGAAAAAACATGAAGGAGTTGGAAGAAACTGTAAACATTTGGAAAAAACTGGAAGAAGGTAAAAGAAACTGGAATGAGTTGAAAAAACTTGAAGAAATTAGAAGAACTTGAAAGGAGTTGGAAAACACTGGTAGAAATGGGAAGAAATTGGAAGTAATTAAAAAATATCGAAAGTTAAAAGTTAACACAAAGCCAAGGTTACGAATTTCGTACTCCGATCCATTCATTGAAGGAGTCTTAACTTTGAAACATGTAACGCAATTGAGAAGTTACTTTATTAAATTGAGTTATATTACATCTATAAATGCTACGACAACACATTACAATGCAATTGAATGTTCTGTTTTTTTCCTTTTATGCATGCATTGTACAAGAATGGATCCCATAAATAGTGCCAATAGTATTATACTATTATAGTGTTTTATTAATATACTCCCATTACTCTGTATGTGCTCCCAAAATAGTTTATAGGTGAAAACAAATAAAACCTGGGCAAAATCATGTTTATTAAACTCAGAAGCTGTTTGAGAAACCATAAAAAAGAAGAGCTTGATAAAATGAAAATTACTCAAAATCTTCAAATCTGAAGAAGAAGAAGAAAATTCTTAGGAGTTTAATTTGAATTTCCCATTTTGTGCTTGCTAGCTAAAGCATAAAAGAAGGATCCTTTTAGAGTTGAGTGTACTCCACCCCACCAAAGCCAGGGTGAAGCCACCTGATTTGTCCAAGAAAAGTCAGCAATCACCCCTTTCCCACAACCACCTTTGGAATCCATACTTTTCATGAGAGATATACATACACAAGTATAAATTATTATTATTATTATGAAAGACTATAATTAATTAATTAACTAATTAATCTAATAAAGTATAATTAATTCAGAACATAAGAGAAGGATGGCAGGTGAATCTTCTTCCCTTACAGAGAGGGAAGAGTTCAAGAAGAAAGGTAAGCTGCAAGGATCCGTAATCCGCAGGTTCGGCTCCAACAAGCCATCATCATCTTCTTCGAAGCCAAAACGTTCGTCGCGTTTTTGTTGCGTTTATATCAATCCATCAAGTTCAAGTGGTAGTTCAACCCCAGAGAAGCAAAGCCCAGTGGCACAACTACAGATGCCAGACTTCACTATGGCCAGCCCATCATCACCCTGTCATGATAATAAAACAGCCTATTATGATCAGGTGATCCACACCAACTGTACAACACATACACATTATATTGTTGTTTTTTATAAAAATTTTATATTTTGTTTATGGATGTTGGGAAGTGATCAAAACAATGTTGGACTTGATCAGAGATGTTATTGTCACTGATATAAATGTGAATAATAAATGTGAGAAAGAGAGACTGGGTCCTAAAGATTCTTTTTTCAAGAAAAGAGCATAAAAACCCATATTTTTATTCACTTTTCTATTTTTCCCAAGTTTATCAAGAATGAAAAAAATCTGGTTTTCTGCAGTCTGCATCTCTTGATCAGGCTGATTCTTCAGATTCAAGATCAGTGAAAGAGGAGGACGAAATCAAAAAGGTGGAGAACTTCGGGAGCTCGGGGTCTTTCAGGAGAAAGGGGAGATCAAGAAACATGAAGCAAGCTAAGCCTTTATCTGATGAAGATTCAGCAACAGGATCAGAAACTTCTGCAACTGATGATATAGAGGGAAAGAAGGGAACTTCCCAGGCAAGTCTTGACAACTTTTCTGAGTCTACTAGCTTTGGTGTTAGTGGTCATTCTCAAGAAATTTTAGGATCGTCTGATCGGAAATCTTTGGAAACTTTAATGAGGACATCTAGCTTGAGGGACAGTTTCAAGTCCAAGAGGAAGCCTTCTTTTCGTTATTCTAGGAGGGTCCCTAAGGTCAAAATTGCAGATAAGGCTACTTGTTCTTCCACAATGAGGAACTCAAAGTTCCCTGAAAATACCGCACTGAAACCGGGGAAATCTGATTCAGATGTGCTCCAAGCTTATAAAGTTTGTTCCTATCATCATTGTTCTCTTCATGGGCATTCTCAAGATTCATCGACTCCATCAAAGCGCCATGATGCGAGGAGAAAATCAATAAAACTGAAGAAAAACATCAAACAGGTTAAAGAAACTGAAATTGATGGAGATCTGGATTCCGAATCATCCAACAAGACCGTTCATCAACCTGAGACTGAGAAGGAAAAGCGTATGAGCATGTGGAACCTCATACGTAGAAACATGTCTTCGGCTCTTGCTGCAGAACCCAGAAACCAATTGCCTGCACCAGAAGGTTCTGGATTAAAAGCTGATTCTCTTGAAGAAGAAATGCCCACTTTGGATCAGGGTGTGAAGGTTCTTGCAGTTAAGCTTGTACGAGAAGCAATAGAGAAGATTCTCCTTCCAGAGGTTAGTGACTTTGCACCAGACCAAGAAATACTGGGAAAGAATCACAGTGAAGGTAATATTTTTTTAAAAAAAAAAAAATTATGTGATTGCAAAGTGTAAATAAATATATGTATTTTTGACCCTTTTGGATCTTATCTTATATATGCTGACATAAATAAAGTGGAACACAATGCACCGTCTGGTTCAGAAGAGATGAACACCATGATTGCTAGCAGCAGCGAAGGTCAAAATACGGAGAGAACGAAAGAAGAGGTTCCTAATGAATCTGACACAAGAGCACCAAAACACTGGAGTAATCTGAAGAAATGGATTCTGCTCCAACGGTTTACCAAGGAACTGGAAAGGGTGAGAAAGCTAAACAAGAAGAAACCAAGAAATGTGCAGGTGGAACTTGATTTCGAAGTAGAAAAGGTTCATCTGAGGCACCAAACTGTGGAGGAGAAGAAACTGCGAGAGGAGTGGATGATTGATTATGCACTTCAGCAAGCAATGAGTCAACTTGCCCCAAATCAGAAAAGAAAGGTGGAACTTCTTGTAAAGGCATTTGAAACCATGGTTCCTCCACAGGGAGATCAGCAATTTCAGTTCACATTCCCCAGGCATGAAAGAAAAGGCAAAAATCACCCTCTCATCGAACGCGAAAGCGATATGAAATCGGATACAGAACCTGAGCAACAACTTGATAAACTAAACATTAAAAGCGAAGCAGGTATGAAAGCAGCAACAGAATCTGAGCAATTGCCTGGTGGACTCCATGGAGGATATCCTAAAGATGTTGGTACAGGAAATGAACCGTTGGGAAACCGAAACTACATAAAAATGTGGCATATGGTATCCCAACACGTTCTCTCAGGCATTGCATCAAACACTAAGAGTTTACTACTTGGTGAGGCAGATAATGATCCAGAAGAAAGCATCACCACTGCAGAAAAAGATGATCTTGATTCAAGAAGTTTCAGTAGAGACGACGCGATCAAACTCGTTAAAGAAGCAGTTAATGAGATCCTCACCACACAAATTCAAGATGATTCTTTAGACACAGGGCCAGATCACACTATCTTGAATCTGGGTGAGAAACGTTTGGAAGAATGCAAGCTGGGAACAGAAAGAAAAGATCCAAGAAATGATAATCTCACTGAAAACAAGGGGATGGGAGAATCATCACTAGGCAATGAACAAGAAGAAGACAACCCGGAGTTGCACAAACCCAATAAGTGGATCAAGCTGAGAAAGCTTCTCGTTCTGAAGAGATCAATCATGGCCCTGGAAAATGCCAGGAAAATCAAATTGCAGAAACCACAGAACCTCCCAATGGAGCCTGATCCAGAACCAGAAAAGCATGATCTGCGGCATCAAATGATGGATGAGAGGAAAAAGGCGCATCAATGGATGCTTGATTACGCAGTGCAGCATATTGTGACTAAACTAACTCCTGCGAGGAAAAAGAGGGTGGCAATGCTAGTGGAAGCTTTTGAAGCTGTTGTTCCATTGCCGGAGGCAGTAAGCCACTGAAAAGCACTCCTTTGTAATCAAGAATTATGGTTTTGAACTTTCAAAAAAACAAAAAAAAATGGTTTTGATGTTTTGTTTGTCTACAAATATGTTTGTAACTTAAACAGTACAAGTCGATTGAGCTCCAATGGGATTTTTTGTCAATAATCTATGGGTTCCGCACTATTATAAATATTTCGGTTTGAACTTTTAGTTGAATTTTTAGATATATACATAAATATTATGGAGTATGTAGTAAATAGTGTACAATTTTTAAATGTGTACAGTTTTAAAAAAGTAGGATAAAATACAATACAATTAAAAATTCGCTTTCCTTTTCTCTCTTCTTATTGGTGCATGTATATTACCCTTTCCTCCCTCTCTTTCTTTCCCCTCTCAACTTTAATCATTCTTCTCACTTTCCTCTTTTCTAGATTGCCCTTTCCCAATCTTTTCCTCTCCATTAAAGATGTTCTAAGTCTAGCGTCTCCCGTTCCATTACTAAAGAGGAATATCGTGTTATGGCATTCTTTACTAGTGAGTTAATATCGCTACGCTGGTTCCTGACCTTCATTTATAACATTGGACATCCACGCCACATGTGCGTCTCTACTATGATAACCAAGTGGCCTTCCGGTCCACATTACCACTAACTCTATATTTCATGATCGTACCAAACAAACAGGGACAGACTATAATTTTATTCGCGAACAATTGGTCGGTGGCTCCATGTCTGCTTCTCATATTAGCTCTCATCTTCAGCTCATGTACATACATCTTTACAAAGGCTAACTTAATAATATCAACCGTTCGAGTTTTTTCTTTGCAAGTTGGACATTCAGTTCCTTAAATGAATACAATAATCTATACAGTTTCTTTTACAATTTCAAGATACGACTCGTGACATGTTCATTTCTACTACCTCCGTCCCAGAATATTTGTCCACTTTCATTTTTGCACACCATCCAATACATTTCTTTAATCCATTTTATTTTGTAATTTGTATATTAAAAAATTATAGAAATTATATATTAATAATCTATATGTTAAGACAAATCACACAAGATCACACATGACTATATTTAGATTTACACATTGAGAGAATTTGATGAGTCAAAGTGCTTAAATGAACAATTCCAAAAGTCAAAAGTGGATAAATATAGCGGGACAGAGGGAGTATTTGCTTGTATTCATATTTCATAGTCATCTCTCATTCATAATAAGAACATCTTTAATGAGAGTTGCTTGAGATGAATGTGGTCCGGTCCTTGAGAACATCTTTCTAAACCATGGAATGGAATATGCCTTCCCAAGTTAGAGTCCAAAGTCAAAACCTACCCCCTCATATGAGCGCAAATAAGGGTAGTTGGACTTATAAAAACGGTAGGCGCACATTTTAGCTGCGCGTCAAATTTTGGACGGCTGAAAATGGTCCCCCGGACCCCCCTTACGACGCAGGCTATATAAACAAGGAGGGAACACCCACTAAAAAATTAGGTTGAGAAAACAGAAGTTTTTCTTTTTTTTTTTTTAAATTTAAATGGCAGGTCTGCAATACAATTTCTTCCCGACGGATTTCTTCTTCCCCCAGCAGCAGAAAGCGGCAGCGAGTATAGCCAACGCGCCCCCGCAGGTCTCCTTGTTGAAAGCGAAAAAGATCGGCGATGAAATCGACGAGTCGTCGACGGTTAACCGCGCCGCCGTAGCCATCAACGCCAGCCCTCCTCCCCCTCCGCCGGCTGATTCCTCCTCCTCGTCGTCGTCTCGCGCCTTCGCCGCGGTCCCGAAGCAGAAGCATCAGGCGTAATCGGTTGACGGGAGCAATGAGAAAGCAGATTTGGTGATCCGATCTATTAGTGTAATAATGCTATGATTTTGTTCTTCGATATTGTTTGTATTTGGGTCTTCTTCTATTTTGTCTTGGATGTGATCGGGTTCGTGAGGCCTGCAAGTGTTTTTAGGCCGCGTTTGGTTTAGCCTTTCTGAAATAGAGTTTTAGGCAGGTGTATAGTTTTGCACTTTTGCTAGGAGTACTCTGTCTATGTGTGGTGGCTTTCTACTCCGTATTTAAGAAATCTACTTTCAAAAGCTTCACCGTTTTATTTATTGGGAAATGAACTTTTTTTTGAAGTTTGACCATATGTTATAAAAAAAAATTGAATCTTATATAAATTTAATTTGACGTGGGTTCACAAACTCCCTATTTAATACAATAATCACAAACTTTACAAATTTACTATTAGACTTTTACTTACTCAATAAATAAAACGGGTAAGTATTTAGATAGGGTAAGTAAAAGTCTAATAGGGAGTACCCACATCAAATTAAATTTATGGACTTTAAAAAGTTATTGAAAACTTTAAGGTATATTACAAAACCTATAAATATGCATGAAATTTTTATTTTTTTCAAAGAAAGCAAACTTCATTAATGCATCAACAACAAGATAACGAAGTTTGGATGGAAGTAACCTCAAACACCACATTGAACTTCAACCCATCAAGCTAATGTATGAGCAATACAATTAAAAGAACAATCCACGTGATAAAATGAAATAGAAATGTAGTTTTAAGTTAAAATGAAATAACAATAAATATTTAGAACAAGTCATTTTAAATTAAAACGAAAGAACAATAAATATTTAGAGCAATTCACTTTAAATTAAAATGCAAGAACAATAAAAATTTTCCTGCAAAAAAGCATTAATTACAGGAATGTAGTATGAAAAGATTGATTTCCACATCATGAAAACCTTTCTCATGATAATATCTTTCTATAAGTCATCGTCTACACCGGCATGTTTGATATAAACGGTGGTCGAGTAGAAATAAGGGTTGGATTCTCAATATCATGTCGCCACGGATCCCCCCAAACCAATGTATTTTCTCCATTACCAAGTGCCTTTTTAGACCATCCCTTAAGTATTGTCAAGGCTTCCAAAATTTTGAACCAACGATTGTTAGGAGTGTACCACGCTGCTCTTCAAGAAAAAAAGATTTAGAAAAATATGTGGCCTTGGAGACCTGATAAACAAGCACATCCAAATGTATAAGAAACCTCCCGCCTGTGTAACCAACATGACAATACTAAAAGTACAAAAGAAAGGGTCTTAAGGATCATATTGATATAACCCTTAGTATACGTTATGGGAACCGTAAGAGAGCCAATCACAAGAGCTCAATTCGTTGGAAAATACAAGAGGAAGTTGAAACAAACTAGAAAGAGTTCAAAAGTTGGATAAATTTGTAATTAAGGAGTTTCAAAAAGCAGAAACGAGTTGATAATATTAGAATTAACTGTTCCAATTGAAAGAACAAACCCTTAATCACGTTGTTTACGTTTAATCCACGTTATTCATAGCCTTTTATGTTTCATCAATATGCAACAATGTTCATAGTAGCATATCGACAAAATTAAATATGCGTATGAAACGAATTAGAAGATTTGTAAGGGTGATATAAAATCAATTTAGAGTCCTACGAATTATCGTAGCGTTATCAATTTTCGGTGTCATAATATGACAACGAGAGTGAGTGTCCAAAGATCCAAGCCATATTTGGAGTAGACCTGTGCAAATAAGGATCCGGACCGGGTTTGATACAAATTATTAGCCCATTTGAATGGGCGGGCTTGGCCCGGCCCGGATTTGATGTGCTAAACTCTTTACCCATACCCGCCCACTTTAGCGGGCTGAACTGCCCACCGGGCCGCCCGACCCGGATAAAACATCAAGTACATTTTTTTTACACAAAAAAAATCAAAAAGAAAATATTGAACTCCTTTTCAAATGTTTAAAATAAAATTACCACTCGCCACATTTACATAGAAAACATAATAAAAATATTGTTACATAATTAATACACCCATAATACAGATTCATCAAAACACTATTGATCTTTGTTTAAGAAGGGTGAGTGATATGAACTATTATACATGAGTTAAAGAAAATTTTAAAATTTATAATGTCTAGATAATTAATACGTAGTAATGAATTAAATGTACTAATGAATATGGGCGGGCCTATTGGCCCGGATGGGCTAAAAGTAATTTCCATATTCGCCCAAATACAATTCGGGCTTGGGCCGACCCGCCCATGTGGGTATTAAAGATTGTCCATATC